CTTGTACTTGATTAGCAATCTGAATTCCTTGTACTGCAGCCAACAACTCAGCTCTTGTGGAATCCCCTATTCCCATTGGGCTTGAGAATAAGGATACAACATTGCCATTCTCATTCCTCTGGACTCCTATGCTAGACGGTCCTGGGTTACCTTGACTGCTTCCGTCAAAACTTAGTTTAATTACCCCTTTCATAGGAGTTACCCAAACTGTTGCAGCCCTGGTTTTCCTAACCGAAGTGTGTGCAACTGCAGCCCAATTCCTCCAAATGTCATCAAAAGAGAAAGAGTTGAACAAAGCCAAGGATTTCAGCCAGTAAATAGCCCTGGTTAAAATGCGCTTCTTCACTTCTGTAAAGGGTCTCTCCTTGTCTTGGAGGATTCTAGCATTTCTTTCTTCCCAAATTGTCCATAGGGTGGCTGCTCTAAAACATCTTCACATACTGCTCCCTTTTTTTGTTGGGCAAGCAAAGGTAGATGAAGAAAACAAAGATTTTACCTATGTTGGCTGATCCCACCTATATCTAAACAAACCAAACATCCAATCCCAAAGAACCGCAACAAACTACGAGATTTGCAAAACACACACCAATTTAGGGATAAACACAGAAAAGGCTTTTTCTTTTGTAAGTTCTCCAAAGTATTGATCTTACCAAGGTACACTTCCCAGCAAAAAACAGCAATTTTGGGGGGAAGAGGCTTAGTCCAGACTTCTTTTACAAGGAAAGGCTCAAGGGAAGTACTAGAACAAAGGAATTTGAAGAATGATGCAAATGTGAAGGAACCTTTTGGGATAGAGGGTCCACACTCTTCTATCAAGAGAAGAGGAATCCAAACAAAAATTTTCTAAGATGGAAAGAAGTTTCGTAACACAAACAAACTCAGCCTCCCTTAATCCCCTACGAAAACCAAAATCCCAGTTCAAGGATAAAGGTAATACTGGAGAGGGGAAAAAGATAACCTCCTTTTTATAAAGGGAAAGAGAATAAAGGGAAGGAAAGAGATCTTTTAGAGGTTGATTGCCCACCCAAGTGTCTTCCCAAAAAAGAACTGAATTCCCAAAGCGTCATACCTTACAAATTGAAGGAATTTGGGGAGGATGCCATGTATTGCCTTACAAGGTGTTGTTTGGGTAGCCCAACAAGATACTCCAATATCCCAACTAGAGGCGGAATAACCATGAATACTAACCACCATAGTTGTCAAGGTGAAGCCTAGGCGACAAGGCACCCTTTGAGGCTCCCCTCGCCTAATCGCCAAGCAGTTTTGTACTATGTATTGTAAAATACTTTTTTATTCTTTATTTTTTTGACATTATAATTATAAAATAGGCACCGTTAAACTAAAATATTCATTTTATGTGTTTATATAATAATTTATTTTTATTATTTTCTTATTTGTTAGGATTTAATCAATACAAACATTGCTAAATGCTGTATTGAACCCTCAAAGAGTTTAAAACCTGAACCAATAAGTAAGGAAGAACTTAAAATTTTGTCTAATCAGCACATTGTCTATACTTTAACATGAACTCTATACTTTTCTTACGAAAATTATGAATAATTATTAAGGAAATATGGATATGGTACCTAGGAAACTACCCTAGGATCTATGTTTTCTATATAAAAAAATCCATCGCCTAGGCGACTAGGCAACAAGGTGCCCCCCTAATGCCCAGCCTTGCCTTGGCGCCTTGAAAACTATGCTAACCACCACCCTATGCCACAAACTTTCTCTTTCTAGGGGCCATCTCCACAACCACTTCCCCAATAACGCTTCATTTTTAAGGACCGAATTCCCTAATCCCAAACTCCCTGCCTCTTTACTCCAATAGACTGTCTCCCAATTAACTAAGTGATCCTTTTTCTCTTCCCTTGGTTCCCAAAGAAAATTTCTCATCAATTTTTCTAATTTCCTAGCCTCCCTACAGGGGATCCTAAACACAAAAAGAAAATAAACTGGTAGATTGGCAAGCGTAGCCCTAATTAAGGTTACCCTTCCTCCCAAAGTTATATAATTCTTTTTCCAAGCTGCCAATTTTCTTTGAAATTTCTCCACAACTGGATACCAAAAGCTGCTTTCCCTAGGATTCCCACCCAAAGGTAAGCTCAAGTAAGTCAAGGGCCAAGAAGAACTAGAGCAATCCAAAAGAGTTGCAATAGACTCAACTTCATTGTGATCCAAATTGACCCCTACTACACAACTTTTTTCAAAATTGATCTTTAGATTGGAAACTCTCTCAAAGCCTAATATTAGGTCCTTAAGGTTTCTCACCTTCCTCGACTCGCTTCCTTCATAGAAAATGATAATATCATTTGCAAACTGGAGACGGGTTATAGAGACAATATTCCTTCCAATCTTCCAACCATCTATTACCCCTTCCCTATCTGCCTTCAATATCAATATGCTAAGCACATCCACCACCAAAGTAAAGAAAAAAGGAGAGAGAGGATCACCCTATCTCAAACCTCTGGAAGCCGGAAAGGAAATCCTTTACCACTCCATTCGCTAACACTGAGTAATGAACCGGAGTGAGGCAGCCAATCATCCATAAGCACCATCTTTCCCCAAACCCACAAGTCCTAAGTATCCCCAAGAGGAAACTTTGGTCCACCATATCATATGCCTTCTCAAGGTCCAATTGCAAGCAAAGCCTTGACTTCCTGATTTCCTCATATCCTCCACACACTCATTTGCTATTAGGATTTGATCGGTTATCTGCCTGCCTTGTACAAAGGCTCCTTGAGCTTGACTAATGAGAGGAAATAAAGTCACTTTGACCCTTAAGGACAACATCTTTGCCAAGATTTTATAGATGCTAGTCACCAAACTAATGGGCTTGTAATATTTTAGGTGTTTAGCATTATTCTTTTTAGGAATGAGAGCTAAAAAAATGGCATTTATTCCTAGGGGTGGCCACAAGCCAAGCTTTTCATGAGTTGTTTGAGCTTAGCTCATGAAAAGCTATGCTTGGCTCGGTTTAAACCGAGCTTCAAGCCAACTCGAGCCTAGTATATAGGCTTGATTAGGTTCGCATACATATTAATATATATACATATAAAAATAATATATATAAAAAATTTTATTTTTTATATATAATAATAATAATTAATTTTTATGTCAAATTATTTTTATAAAACATTTAATTCATAGTCGAGCTCAAACTTCCAAGCTTTTGACTTGAGCCGAATTCGAGCTCAAGTCTTTAGCTCAAATCGAGCTCGAGCTTGATAGTTTATTAGCGAGTTCAACTCAAATCCACCCCTATTTATTCTAGAGCTAATTACATGTCTCTCTTCAAATTCCTTGAAAACCTCAACCAGATCCTCCTTGATTATTCCCCAATAATCTTGGTAAAAAGCCATAGTGAAGCCATCTGGACTGGAGCCTTTGATCTATCCATAGAGAACACCACTTGTTTGATTTCTTCTTCTTCAAAATTCCTTTCCATCCAACCTGGAGTACTATCATCTAACCTTGGCCACTCTAAGTCTTCCGACCTCTCTTTATTGTCTATAGGTCTTCTCAACCTTGATTTGAAGTGGTCCACAAAAATCCTTGCAATCTCTTCTTTAGAAAAAACATTTCTCCATCAATTTTTAATTTGGTCACAAAGTTCTTTCTCTGTCTCCCATTGGCCAGTGCATGAAAATATTTGGTATTCCCATCACTTTCCTTGATCCACTCATCCACCTGTGCCTAGACTTTTGCCTCCAAGCATGGGAAAGGTTTTTCTTCCTCTTTGGCTACAAGTGGATAGAACCCTCAAGCATGGCAAGTTTGCTTTGTGTAGAAACCTTCACTTAGCCAAGAAAAAGAAGGACATTATGGAGATGTACAAGGGCAATAATTGTGTGGACAATTTGGGAAGAAAGAAATGCTAGAATCTTTAAGGCGGAAGGAAGAAGCTAGGAAGCAGTCTTTGAATGTATAATGGCTAAGGTGATGCATTGGGCTAAAAGCATGGAGCTATTTTCATCCTACCCACATGATGATTTGTGGAGAAACTGGGGACAGATGGTTACATCATCCTCAAAGAAACCAAAGATCCATAAACAATGGATACCACCGGAGGAGGGATTCATTAAGCTAAACCTTGATGGGAGCAGTGTAGGAAATTTGGGCCCCTCGGGTATGGGAGGTGTTTTCAAAAGCATGGAAGGACATATCGCAGATAAGTTTTCAGGACCCACTGGCATTGGGGACTCCACAAGGGTTGATCTCTATGTGCTTCATGGACTACAATGGGCAAAGGAAATTAATCTCACCAATTTGGTGATAGAGGATGATTCCAAAGTTGACACGAGGCATGGAAGTAAGAGTACATTGAGTTAAAAGAACTGCTAATGGGTTTGTCAATGCTTTGGCAAAATAAGGGGTGGGAAGAAATCAGTTGCTTTGGGCTCAATTGTAATGGTTTTGTAACTGGATGGCTGAAAAATGGTGAGTGTAGTATGGGGTTACGGAAATGAACTTAAACGGATTGAATGGCTCACAAGGAGCATGAATGTAAAGATACAATGTGTACAAAGATCTGCCAACGGGCTGGCTGATGCTCTAGCTAAGCAACGGGTTAACAGAAATCAATTGTATTGGGCATGCTTGTAATCTATTTTGATTCTGTAGGGTACGGTAGTGATTGCTACCCTATCCAAGAGATGCACTGTAATATTGCTGTTTTCTATTAATAATTTTTTTCAGTTATTTATCCCAAAAAAACAATAATGACTTTTTTATTCAGTAAAAATCCATTCTAATTCTAATTTTAGAAAAAACAACCATACAAATTGTTTAAATAAAATCATCTCAATTAGAGAATGACTAAATTTTCAAAAAACACCCATGCACCTACTTGAAAGAAAAAAAAAACATGGGGTGATTATTTTCTCCCAAAATGCAAAGGTGTAAAAATAAAAGAGCATCAAAGACAAATGGATAAGTAAATATTGGAACAAAATTACTTGGTAAGAATGAATTTATCGTGGCAAAATAAAGAAAATTACCTAGAATAACGTGCCAAAAGATTAGTTCGATGATATGCAACTGTAAGGTTGTACTGCAGAAAGGTGAACCCACGATCTGCTCCAGCAGGCCGCCACTTTTTTACTTCTAGTGACACTTGTTTTAGAGTGCAAACAAGAGAAACGAACATGTTTCTATTTAATGAATCACCAACAAATCCTGCACTATTGACAACGTCATGAGGGCTAAAATACTGAAATCTGAAGTATGAACATGAAAAACAAACATTTTTCTGTTGAACATATGACCAACAAATCCTCATACTGTTGAAATTTTCATGAAGACTAAAGGACTGAAAATATTAGAAAGCATAACTAAGTAATAATTTCAACTAATATGTGTGACAGATATCTCCTTTTCTCAACCTGGGAAACATCAGTATGCATCTTATTAGAGACTATTCTACTAAAGTCGCTGTAACTTTTAAGCAGGGATTACACCAGCAATCTAATATTTGAGGTAACATACATCCACCAATTGGATTAAATGGCTGAGCCCTTTACCTGTAATAATTTTCTTTAGGTTTATGTTAGCACTTTTCAAGTTCCAATCATAATTAGGCATTTATTAAGGATTAAAGGGAAATGGTAAAACATTAAGACTAAGGAAAACGAAACATTTACCGATGTTGGTGTTGCTGAAGCGCTTGAGAAACCAAACCGGATCAAATGGTGGAAGATCACAACCTTTTGGCTGCCAACGCCAGTTCATGATATCTTGGGCGTTGGATTTATTGTTGGAAATGCAATTCCAGCCTTTAAAGACCTCCTTACATGAGTTGGCATACAGTGAAGTTCTAAACTTTGGATCATAGATCCACTTCCCATCTGAATAATCACATAATCCTGAATTCTCAATTTGTGGGATTCCTCTCTCTTTGATTTCAAAATCTCGATTATTTTTGTACGAAACAAGCATCTTGGTGGTAGAACCTCTGAAATCTGAGAAAACGAGGGCAAGCGAAACAAAGCAGAAGACAGAGATAAAGAGAAAGAATGTGTAGCGACGTAATGAAAGATTACTATTCTTCTTGATGTGGTGATCTTTCATGGCCATATTTGATGTCCCCACTCTATTTAGTTTAGTTTGTACAACATACCTCACCTCAAACAAATGGAAAAGAGATTGAAGAAATCCTTCAGGAACCAGATCCCATGCAGGTGTTGCAACCAACAAGTTGAAAGTCAATCAACCACAATATATATCATCAATGTCTGTCTTCTAAGTTCTAATTAACCATAGCTTCCAATAGGCGGTGCCAAAAGAAGTGGCCAGAAGCACTTTTATCATTCCCACCACCGGGCTAAGCAGTTGGAACTTGGAAGCGACCCTGCATCGCAATAAAATGAAGGGTAAAATACAAAAAACCTTTCCTAAAGTTTCTTACAATAATAAAAAATCTCTTTTTGGTCTCGTTGTGCAATTAGATGTCACACTTATCTTCCCCACTTGGCATTTCTTTGAGTTTTTTCTTCTATAATTTGGAAAGAAAATGATTCATTTTTGAAGCTCATCTATCATTGCAGAGACAAAGCATACATGATCATGGTACTTGAGGTTCCTGAAGTGTTGGACATTGGGGTAAGGGGGGTTCATTTTTTTGGATTTTGAGAGCAGGAAGTTGGTCAATGGGATTTTGGTTCTCATTAACTAAGAATTTTATGTTCTTTTTTCAAAATCCAAAAAAATTTATTTTCTTGGGTAAGTGATACCTATATCTTAGGTAAATAAATAACTTTTCCACTCAGGGGAAAGTTGTCAATACTTAAATGTGACAAAAATACTCCTTTAATAATAAAATTTTATGACTAAAATGGTCATTGCCTTATTTACAATGAAAGAACATTGATAAATGCACTTACCTGAATAAGTGTTTCCCATAAAAAACTTATCTAATTAATAACATTTATCTGAGTAAGTAACTTGTTGAAAAACAAAAGGGGCCTAAGTGTAAATCTGTTAGGACCAGCGGGTCTAAAGTCTCCGAAATTGGAGGTGAACCAAGCAAGGGTGTTGTCATCACTTTGTGGCTCATGGACACCGCCATGGAGATGGACGATAGTAGAGACACCAGCGTTCTTGGGAATGGCAATGGGGACGGTTGGATCCCATGGGAATATGTGATTTTGAGGGAGATGATTTTGCCACGTCACGTAAGTTGGTACTCCACAGAATGTCTCAATTGTGGGACCAGGAATAGTGGCGCCCATTCGAGAGAGTGTCTGAATTGTGGGACCAGGAACAGTAGCGGTCATTCAGGAATTAGGAGGTCCCATGTGTGAAGACAAGATAAAGAAGCAAGAGGGAGGAGTACTGTGGATCAAAAATTAATTAGCATCCATTTCTTTTGATACATGCCGATGGTAAGACTTGAAGGAATGGGAAGGCGATATAGCATGGAATAACTAGGGGTGAGCAAGAAAAACCAAAAAACTGAATCGAAAAATCGATTGAAATTGAATCAATAATTTGTTTAATTGAATCAATTGATTCGGTATTTTAAAAAATCAAAGGTATCGTTTGGTTTCGATTAATCAAAATAGAAGACCAACAATTAACCAAACTAATCGATATACATATGTTTATATATATATTTTATGCATATTTGTGTATATTATATTATATATTATATTTTCTATACATTATAAATTAATAAATATGCATTATATATTTATAATATATAATTTATAATTTATTATTTATTATTTCAAAATATAATATTGTATATATATTATTAATTTTTTTATTATATATTTATATATTTTTCTATTATATATTATAAATAATAAAAAGCCAAAAAACCATCGAACTGAACTAATCAATCGATTAATCAGTTGGCTTCGATTCAATTTTAATTACAGATTGTCCAAAAACTAGTAACCCTAATTCAATTTCAAAAATAAGCCCACGATTTGAATAATCAAACTATAAGCACCCCTAAGAATAACCATAGAGCTTTGGCATTTGTGGGGAGTTCATCGACGAACAATTGCAAAGAAGCAAATACTTGTTGAAGATCAGTTGTTTTGGTTATCAGAGGATAAGGAGGAGGAGCCTATGCTTGGGCTTGATAAAAAATATTGGAGACAATTATTAACGCTATCGTGATTTGTGAGAGATAATAATAAAAAAGTGTGGTTTTGATGTAACCCAGTTTGTGAAATCGGATAGGAAGGAGAAGAAGGTGGGAGAGTCATTGATGTCGGTAAGTATTAGTTTTGGACCGTAGGTGAGGATGAGTGCCGCCAGTCTATAACTCCAAAGGATCCACTGCAAAAAACTTAAAAAACACCCTGACATTAACAGGGGTAATTTTATAACTTTTTAATTTTCTATCGGGGTCAAGAATGAAGGGAGGTTTCTGTTGATTTTTTTTTTTAAGTTTAGAGGAGGTGTTTGTTAAAATGAAACTAAAGGGGAGATTTTTATTATTGTCAAAAACTTCTAGTGAGGTTTTTGTATTTCACCCTAAAACATTTTTTTTACATCCGCTACAAGAATCTTATCCATATACTCAATGCAATAAAGATAATAATCCTATAATTTGTAATTTAAATGCACTAGTAATTAAGCACGTGCCTGATATGTATGACTTTTTTTCCATATTAATATAAAATTAATAAAAGTAACAATATGATTAAAATAAACTTAAATACTTGTACTAAATGTGTACTAAATACTTGTACTAAACTTAAATTACAATAACAATTATTATTATTACTACTACTACTACTATAAAATTTTGTATTCCATTTATGCCTTAAATAAAAATAAATTTTATTTTAACAATTATTTTTATTTAATATGATGATTATATAGCATTAGAAATGTTCTTAAATGTCTTTATTTTTTTAAATATTTATTATTCAATTATGACATCATGAATTTCTTTGAAAAGTTGGATCATTGACTCACCATTTAAATAAGAAAATAGCTTTGCTTTCGGATCAGTTTTAAATTATATATTTCATCTACATCATATACATAATTTTTACTTATCACACTTAATTTTTGTTTGACATAATTAATATATAATTTTTTATATATTCTTTTGATTACTTATTATTTTTTAAATATTTATTATTTAACTATTATATCATCGATTAATCCATTTGACCCAAACCACTAACCATGACCCAAAAAGAAAAATGTTTGATTTCTAGGTTGACAAAATTTTGTATTACATTTCCATTATTGATAAAATTATATCTTATGTATAGTATTTATTTTATGATTCTTTGTATTTTCTATTTTTTAAAATTCTATTATTTGACTATGGCATCATTTCATTTCTAGGTTGATTTTAATTTTGGAATTCTATTTTCATTTACAAAAATACTTCTTACATTTCATACTTATTTTTGTTCAATATAATGAATATACTATATTAATGACATGCTCAGTTCTTTTATTTGTTTGTATTATATATTTAATTTATTTATTTTTTATTATTTGATTATGGCATTATTAAAATTAGTGTTGTGGATTTAATCAGTAGAATTTAATGATGAGAAAATATATCTTTAATATAGGATTTAATAAGAGAATATGCCTTAGATATGAGATTTAATGAGAGATAATATGAAAATAGTTTTACTTCTAATTAGTTTTAAATTTTACATTTGATTTCCATCATTAATAAAAACATTTCTTATTTATCATCAATGTTTTCAACTTGTTGTTGACCTGGCTAATTGAACCGTTTGAACCGTCACTTGACCTTGATTCTAGGTTTGGTTGTGTTGAAATTCCCCATTTTGGTTAAAAATAGTCTAACTTGGGTGATTCAACTATTGACCCATTCGACCCAGTAACCAAGTCACAAGTTGTGCACTTAATTATATGCAAACTTTTGGAAGCCATAGATTTGCACTCTGATGTTTGATTGGGGTTATCTTTTTTTTTGAGTAACTTTTCAAAATCTATACGTCCCAAGGACATTATGCACCTCGCCTTGCTATTTTTGCAAAAAAAACCTTTTTTGGCCCCAAATTATAAGTTTTAATATTTATATAAATAAAAATTTTAAAATAAAATTAAAAAGCATAAATAAATAAATGTAACATAATACATATATTATATGTAATATATGCAAAACATAACTATGATATATGTAAAACATAATTATACTATTTATTGATAAAATATGTATTTTTACACAAACACACATAGTGTTGATGTAGAGCGGTTTGACCTTGATAGTCGAATTAGTGACTTATGACCCGAAGGCAAAAGTGGTTCGGCCTCCGGGTCAGTTTTTAAAACATTGTTTATCATACTTATTATTGTTTATGTCAAATATATGATGTTAAAAAAGTTCCCTTTTGTAATTTCTATATTTTTGCATTTTATATATTTTTGAATTTTATTATTTAATTGTGACAAAATAGATTGGCCCATTTGACTTAAATGGTTTAATTTCTTACCACCAACTATAGGAAAACACTATTTTTCCATGTAGATTTTAAAAGTATAAGTTTTTATGTTATTAAAATTATTAATTTATTATGTATGTATTTAATTATAGAATTTAATAATGAGAAGAAACGAAGAAGCCTTAAATATATGATTCAATGAAGGTAAATGCAAATTAATACCTTAAATGTTTGATTTGATGAGATATAATTGAATGTATTGAATATCTTAAAATTACAAATTATCATATTCACTTTCATTTTAAATCAATAAATTTAAATATAAAGGGGTAAATTTTGTCATCACAAAATTCCAGAAAATATTATTAAGGCTATTGTACTTTTTTAAAGTAGTATAGATTTCTGTAAAATCTTGGCTCATTGTTATTTAACCCAACCCGCCACCTTTATTCCATTGTTTTATCCTTTTTGTAATAAAAGGAGTACTGGTGAGGATACAAGCTTTAGGCAAGTAAACATTGTACCTTGTGCCTTATATGGACCATATGGTCATATGAAGATGGTCTACTTATACTCTAATGGAATCCCATGGTCTACTTGTTTATAGCTGAAATGCCTAATATGAGATTTTTCTTGTTGAATGATATAAAAGAAGTGGAAGCAACTGAAAATTGGGTCTAGAATGCTTTCAAATCGAAAACCCAAAAAGGATTTATTAAGATGATGATGATGAAATAGATGATGTGTCCAAGTGTTAATTTAGATGTCAAATAAAGTATTATGTAGTTTAATGGAATTTTGGTTGACAATATCGCAATTGTAAAACTCCTATTTTTGTTTAATTCAAAATGGGAGCCATTAAAAATATGACTGGCAATTTTGACCCCAACCCATTTGACCCACCCACCTTGGAATCCATCCATACCCACCCAATTTATTGGCGGGTCAATATGGGTCGAGTAATGCATTAGGGTCAATGGAAAAGGGTCAGGGTGGGTTGGGCCAAGGGTACCCATTAGGGTCAGGATGGGTTGGACCGTGCGGGTTAGGATGGGTTGGGTGTAAATCAGCTCTATCCATACTTGCCAAATATATAAAAAAACAATAGTTAATGTGACTCGAACTCAAGTACTTTTATGAAAGCATTTTTATAAAAGTACTTACACGAAAGCACTTTATGAAAGCCCCCACGCTCAATCTCCTTTGAGGATGGTGGCAACATGAAAATGCTCTTCACTACTCTTTTATAAGACCCTTAGCGTCCTAGATCAAGTCAGATCAAAGGTTGTGATTCAGTGCTGCCCTCTAATAGCTCGGGAAGACGAAGCGATGCCACCGCCCCTCGCACGCACGTAGCCTCGGGGAAACGAAACGACGCCCCTATTGACCCATCTCGAAAACGGTACGGACGTCGAATTGGTCGATTCACCCAAATTGGTTGCACCCCGGGTCATTAAGCTCGGAAAGATACACTTCGAAGAGTTCCTTAGTCGAATACCTCATAGCTCTTCCACGCCACACCACGGTTGAGCACTACACTCATCGACTTTGGAACTGGGGGAGGGGTGTTTGGGTTATGGTTGAGCTGGCCCCGGGTGCCATGTGTCACCTCCATGGCCGTCTTATCTCTTCAACCACATCGGTACCATGTAGGATGAAGAAGCGCGACTAAGAGGAGCCTTGTACGGATAAGGAGGACAGTTTCGTCGAGGATTATGACTTATCCCGAAGACCTCGGTGGACAACCTCATCCTGATAACCCTGGAAGCCCCATCCGAATAGGACACAGATCCTTGGCTATAAATAGGTAACCCCCGCTTAAGGTACGAGATTTTTGACTCTTCGGACTTCATACTATTATTCTACCTCTGCTCGGACCAGTATGTTTCTCTCAACTGCTTAGCCCGGCCACTCATCTTTCATTAATGACTTGAACGTCAGAGTGCCTACCTGGGGAACAACTCCTTGGGCATCTGATCACTTTCTTGTTTCAGATCTTGTTGTGCGGCTCCGTCCTTCCACCTCAGCTTTGCCAGTTGGCAAGATTATTTGACTACGATCTTGGTTTGAGACACCTTGAATTGGACATCATCAATATATATATTTGTGTTAATCAAGCCAGACTTGTGAGCTTTCGATCTAAACTTTTTATTAGTTGAGCTCAAGTTCAAATAACTAATCAAGCTTACCTCAAGGTTCAAACTCAACTAGAATTGAATTCAAACCAAGCCTAATTAAGCTTGAGCTCGAATGATTCAACTAGAGCTTGATTTGCAGCCCTATGATTGAGTCCAAATCTGATATGCCCGTTACGTTCATATACGAGGTGTAGTAGCAACTGTTATCCTCAATGCAATTGGGACCGTTGGACCTTACTCATTATGTTAATTTTGCTTGTGTGAACACTAGTGGAGGGTATTAAAGCTATTCGCCTACTTGTCATTATTTTCTTTTTTTTTTTATGTTTTTTACACTCCAATTTCAACACATCCTGCACCTCAACTATCAACAGCTCGGGTTTGGATCATGTCAAGGTAGAACCAGTTTTGAATTGATTATTAATTGGGACAAAATTACAAACCCCAAACTGTCCCGGCTAATAGTCAAGTCTATCAGCATAGACCCAATTATACTAACAATTATATTTATTTATTAAAACAATAAGTTATATTAAAAACTTTCATATTATAACCTTAATAAAAATGATAAGATTACTAAATTATTTAGGGCAAAAGACTTAGAGATACCTTAAGTTTTCATAAATTGACTTAAATCTTGTGGGTTGACCCCACTGGACCTAAACATACCATCCACTAATGAAATGTCACATGTGAACTGATTTAAAATTTTAAAATTTTTTTCCTTTCTAGGCATAAGGATGACAAGGGAGCAGTTCAGGGAGGTTTTGTAAATTCTATACCATACATGTCTCCTTGAACCTCCTGTTGTACCCATTCTAAAACTCATAGTGGGTTGGATTTTGAGAATCAAACCCCTCCTTGCACATGAACATGCAACACCCCTCCCCCCGAGCATCCAAGAGAGAGTGTGTGTGTGTGTGGGGGGGGGGGGGTTGGGTTTAGAATCTGCATCTAATTTCCTATTATTTCTTAACTAGTAAATATGCATATGCGTTTGCACATGGTAGATTCATTATAACAACAACAGCTAAGGCACAATAATATGGTGACCTAAGTATATGAACCATTGAACGATTTGACTTAGTTAGTAGGGTCACAAGTTAGACATTAATTCTCCATTTCCATTGATTTTTGTATTCCATTCCCATCATTAATAAAAAACAATTTTTATTTATTACATTTATACTCTTGATATGATAAATATATAAAAATAAATTTTATTTTTAATTTTTTTACAATTCACTATATTTCTATTTAGCTTTTTTTTATTATTTAATTATGACATCATGATATACCCATTTGACTTAGAAGGTTGAACCATTGTCTCACTACTTGTATGGATAGAAAAACTGGTTTACCCTTTGGTCAATTTTATTGCATTCCATTTTCATCATTAGTAAAAACAAATCTTATTTTTCATACTTATTTTTTTGTTTAATATTAGAGATGTGCTGACATGTTTTCTACAAAATTTGTATATATTTTTTTGTAACTTTTGTGTTGCTATCTTTTTAAATATTTATTATTTAATTATGACATAATGGGTTAACCTATTTGGTCCAAAAGGTTGGACCATTGATTCACTATCTTGATAGGAAAATGGTTTCATGTTTAGATAATTTTGAAAATTTGTATTTCATTTATATTATTAATAATAATTATTTATCATACTTTTTTTTTGTTTATTATGATTAATATATATTAGAGATGTGTATTTTTTTATTATTTGTATTTTTAGTATTTAATTGTGTTATAATGGGTTTACAAACTTGACTCAAATGGATTAAATTGATTACCCACCACTTTAATGTTTTGTAGGGAGTTTGCAAATGATTTTTTTTTAATCCAATCTTAGCCGTCAAAAACACTACATAAACTATTGGGCAAATCTCTTACAGTACTCCTAAGTTTTAGGAGTTGGCTTACTTTGCCCTAATGTTTAGAAACTGCTTTTAGGTACTCCCAAGTTTTCGAGCTACTGACTAAATCCTCCCATGCCGTTAGTGTTTATGTAGTGAAAATGTGGAAAAGACTATTTTTATCCATCATTATTCTTTAAAATTTTAAAGTGAAACATTTGAATAAACCTGTTGTAATACAAATGCAAGTACCAAACCTCCCGTCCCACACCTGCACCCCCAAGTTTTTGAGCTATTGACTAAATCCTCCCATGCCGTTAGTGTTTTTGTAATGAAAAGATGGAAAAGACTATTTTACTCATCGTTATTCTTTAAAACTTTAAAATGAAACTTTTGAATAAACCTGTTGTACTTGCACCCCGACAATCATCTCTACTAGTTTTACTATTCAATTTTACCATCATCAATGCTAAATAAGAAATGCACCCTGTACTTTGGGTGTTGTGTGAAGTTAGTCTCCGAACTTTAAAATGTCTCTATAGTACTTGAACTTTCAAATTGTGTCTAATAGTTCCTTACCATTAGTTGACCGTCAGTCAATACCATCACGTGACATCAGATGCATATTCAATAATTTCAAATTGACAAAACTACCCTTTATGATATTTTTTGACCATTTTACCCATTTCGTAATGGGTGTTATAAGAATGAAAGGAAAAAAAGGGTTGTGAAACCAGACACTGATCAATTGTTGGTCTGAAAAATACATTCTAGATTGTCTATCTAATGAATAAAAAACCAAAATCAAACCATAATCATATAACAAAAGTGAAGAGGACAAAAAATATGGTTAAAAATGTGATTTTTTAACCTTTCTTCTTCGACGACGACAAGGGTTAGATAACCTTTACTGTAGATAGAAGAGAATGCTATCTTAAGCGTTGGCAATGACTTTTAAATGATCGGTAAGAGGTCTACGACGGTGTTTTCCCGAGCAATCACACCGGCGACGACCACTACAACCTTGATACGAAACCAAGGTGTTGAGTGAGCACTGAGCAGTGTTGGCATCCGATGCACAAAGGGTTTTTAGGTGAGGGCAGTTCTGCCATTTTCTAAAAAAAGTCTCTCTTCCTCGGAATATGATGGGTATTTCAGTCATTTGGCTCAATCGTTAACGATAAGGGCCTATTAAACACAATTTGAAATATATACATGTTTTGAAGTTTGGGACTGACTTGACACAACCCCAAAGTTCAAGATACTGTTTGAATTTTTCAAAAAAAAAATCTATACCTGGTCTACATGTAAAAGGATTATGATGAAATGTTAATACCAACGGCATGAGAAGATTTATTCAATTGTCGGAAAATTTGGAGGTAATTTTGAAATTTCGTAAAACTTGGGATGCTATAAGAGATTTGCTAAGCTATCCACGATAGGCTAATATCCAGATTCCACAGAGTCAAAATACGTGCCAACTGTCAAAATTATATGTGATTATCTTCTTTAGAAGTACCTGCCGGGAACCGTTTAATTAACGAACTCATCCTTTTTTCTGTTTAGCGCCATTTTTTCCCATTCTGAAACCGATAATGGCATCTCTATCCGTATGTGCTTCTTCTCATCGTTTTTGTCCAACTCAAGCTCGCCTGAACACACGAAACCCTCGTGTTAGCTCTCCGAGAAGGCTATCCCGCAGCTCGAACTCTAAACCCAAACCTCGACTCAACTCTGATAGGTTGCCACCGCGGCCGCCACCACCCATTAATCGATCCGGCGGTGGGGAAGCCACGACTTACACCCGTCTTCCACCTAAGGAAGATTTCTTCGAGTATTCCTTCGAGTCCCCAAATCGGATTCCAAGCGAAGTAAAGCTCTCCGAGTCGACTTTGGAGAATATTGCAGAGAAAAAGATCTCGACTCATGAAAATGCGTATGCGATGGATGAGTCAGACATTGAGGAGGATGCCTTTGATACCGAATTAGGGTTTGATTATGAAGAAATTGAGTTTATCGACGAGGAGTTTGCTTCTGCTGATGATGACAACAGTGGCGAAGTGATGGGGTTCGAATGCGACAAATCCGACAGTGAGAGAGATTTGACAGAGGGAGAGAAGGAGAAAGGAGTACCGGCAGTGATGAGATGCTTTGACCGGGCAAAAATTTATGTGAAGGCTGGAAATGGCGGGAATGGCGTTGTGGCCTTTCGGCGTGAGAAATATGTGCCATTTGGTGGGCCGTCGGGTGGAGATGGGGGTACGGGAGGAAATGTTTATGTTGAGGTTGATGGTTCAATGAATTCTCTGTTACCATTTCGCAAAAGCATCCATTTTAGGGCTGGGAGAGGGCACCATGGACAAGGAAGGAAACAGGATGGGGCAAAAGGAGAGGATGTAGTGGTAAAGGTGCCTCCAGGGACTGTGATTAGAGAAGCAGGGAAAGAAGGACCCGAAGGGCAACTGCTTCTGGAGCTTCTGAATCCTGGGCAGAGGGCACTGTTGTTACCTGGTGGGCGGGGTGGGAGAGGGAATGCTTCCTTTAAGTCAGGAACAAACAAAGTACCAAAGATTGCTGAGAATGGTGAAGAGGGTGCAGAAATGTAAGTTAAACATGTTATTATTGTTTTGGATGTTCTTATTAACATATTTGAGATATTGCATTTGTTTAGTACATGCTATTCTTGTTGTGGCTTATAACTCCTCCATGACTCATTCTTATAAGATAATGATAATTCCTGCAGTCGTTTAGACAATCAGCAGTTCAGCACGAGTCTCTTAGAAATATAAAAGTTTCCCTTTGTTCTTTGCTGTGTTTGGTTGCAGTGCAATCTTATTTGCATTAGTACACATGCATGGAAGTGCAAATGAAAAGAATGCAAATTCTGGTTTCATCATTTTATTCTGCTTCAGGTCTTATTTTACTTTATTTGTACTGCAATCAAACAAAATAAGATAACTTTTGAAAAAAAAAATCATAATTTGCACCAAAATCATTTGCACTACCATGGTTTTACATCAGTGTAAATAAATTTGCATTGCAACCAAACACAGCCTTAATTTCATTTGCTGACAGCATTGTGCAGTTTTGGGCCTTTGAAATTTGATTGTTATCTATATGAATTTGGCACTTGAGTTGCACTTTTCGTATCCCATTGTAATGTTTGACTTCTAATTCCTTAGAAAAGCCTCATAGGGATCACTTGAAATCTCACTAAGTTGTTTAAAAGATGACTTAATATGTCATGAAATGTTTTACCAAAGTTTCGTAAAACAGAATCTTATGAGGAGCATGGTGTTGGATAATAATGGCTGTGTTTTATGCTCTGATGAGCTGGAAACAGCATCCATCTATTCCTATACTACCAGTCTACCATTTTTTCAGGAACCATGGGAAATTGTGTTTGCTTCTTTTGGCTGGAAAGGATGTTTCCCAGCAACAACTGAAAATTTCTTTCAATGTTGGTATCTATAAAGTTTAAGTGAGAAATGAAAAGTTACATGGGAAATTCTGCTTGCAGCTATTTTTTGGTACATTTGAGCTGAGAGAAATGCAGCTATTTTAAGAACAAATCAAGCACAGAAGAATCAGTAAAGTCAAAGGAACTTTATGTTCATGGTTGTCCATATATAAGTTGTTTTCAGATGTTCCTCATATAGTGTTGTCAATGGGTTGGGCAGACCTGACAGAACTAAATCAATCCAATTATATAGGGTCTGGATCTGCATTATGTGTCTTGATTATAAATGGGTCTGGATTGGTTTTGGCTGTTCCGGACCAATTAAGACCAGAGCTCGCTATGTGTATAATTATGTAATACCTATTTTTTCTCATGATATACTTGTAATATTATCATATTATGATGTCCAAAATTCCAAATGCGTTGATTTAACAAATGAGTGGGTTTATTGTCAAGTTACAGGTTAAAAGAATAACTGTCAATTATAATCGGGTTTTATTTAGTCAGACCAGATAGCCCTGATTAATAACTGGGCCGGTTCTTTGTCTGTTATCGTCAGACCCTATAGGGTGTGGTATGGAACTGGTTCTACACATTTGTTTATTGGCTGAGGACTGAGTCTATCCTAATCCTGACCCAACCTGACGACCCATTGACAGCACTATCCTTGTAGCCTGTTGTTTGAAAAGATTACACTGTTTAGGGCATTTTGTCATACTGAATTATACTTTTTGTACATGTCCATTGAACAGATCCTTGGTGTACATGGGTTCTAATGTGATGACAAAATTTTCAGTTTATACAACAAATTGAAGAATTAGTTTAGTCTACCAATTTCAGCCTGACAGTTTGCTTCATCAGGTGGTTAGAATTGGAGCTGAAACTTGTTGCTGATGTTGGAATAGTTGGTGCTCCAAATGCAGGAAAGAGCACCCTCCTCAGCATCATAAGTGCTGCTCAGCCAACAATAGCTAACTATCCCTTTACAACTTTACTTCCTAATCTGGGAGTGGTTTCATTTGACTATGATGCAACAATGGTTGTAGCAGATCTGCCAGGTTTACTTGAAGGAGCACACCGAGGTTTTGGTTTAGGCCATGAGTTTCTAAGACACACTGAAAGATGTTCTGTTCTGGTTAGACCATCTCATGTTGAAATGAATGTAGTTTAATATTCTTTTAAGTCAAACGAGGCATAATTTATCAAATTTGCTGATATTACTCTTTTGATTATTTGGTTTCTCCTTGTCAAATGTCTAATTCCTTCCTGTCTTATGAAGCTAGAAAATTACTTTTTGTATGCTTCCTTAATCAAGATCTAGAGTTCACATGTTTCTAACACTGGTCTGTTGGCATGTAGTACCTTATATTCCTGTAAAGGTGTGAATTGGCATTTTGATGGGTAAGTTGAGATGGAAACTGTCCTTGTTTGATCATACTTGGGGTGGGTAATGGTCAGAAAATAAAATTTTGGATGGACCTATCGTGGGGCTGGAATTTACACTTAAATGCCCCTTTAGGACTGTCTAGATGGAAAGGGTTGTTGCTCTAATCAACAGTCTTAAGGATGTTTACATCTCTCCCTCCAAACCCTCACTAGAAATCTAGAATTTGGGTTGCCCTAACGATTAGGTTTCTTCACCCCAATCTATTTTTCCAAGCATTGATTTCTGACCCTGGTGAACATGTATTCACAGAAAAGACTGGGTTTCTTTTGATCTGCACAGTGTATCCGTCTATTTAAAGGAGGCAGTAAAAGGAAAGATCAATACTTTTGATGTTATTTGTATGTAATAAGTGTGGGATGTCCCTCTTCTCTGTTTATGCCTGTATTATATGTCTAAAGAAAGTAGAATCAGCTCCACATTTAATCGTTCACTACCAAGGAGATTATGGCATTTATTTTTGGGCCTAATTGGGATGGATTCAGTGGCTCTTGGAATTGTCCTATTGCAACAATGGAGATATTTGGGAAGAAGTTCCATGGTGCATGTTGTTTGTGGATGACATTGTTTTAGTTAATGAAACTAATGAAGGATTAAATGCAAAATTAAGATTATAGATAAATGCCTTAGAAATAAGAGGTTTTAAAATAAGTAGGACTAAAACAAAGTATATGACATGTAAATTTAGTAATAATAGGAGTATAAATGAGGATACACTTAGGATTGGAGGTCAAGAGATAACTCAATGTGACCATTTATGGTACCTTGGTTCAATAATTATTAACAAGGGAGAGATTTAGGAGGATATCACCCAAAGAATTAGAGCAGATGGGCAAAATGGAGGGGTGCGTCTGGACTTTTATGTGATAGGTAGATACCACTTAGATTAAAAGGAAAATTCTATAAAATAGTTGTAAGGGCAGCTATGGTGTATGGAGCAGAATGTTAGGCAGTCAAGAAACTTGCATGTTTGGAAAAATGAATGTAGCAGAACTACAAATGTTAGGATGGATGAGTGGAAAAACTAGAAAGAATAGGATTAGGAGTGAAGTCATTTGTAGGAACTTAGGAGTAGCTCTAGTAGGGTGATAAAATGATAGAGTGGACTAAGATGGTTTGTTCATGAGCATAGACAACCACCAACAACTCTAGTAAGAAGAAGAAGTGATTTGTTATGAGTTGAAGGGGCTAGAAGATCTAGGGGTAGACCAAAAAGGACATGGGTAGAAATAGTAAAAAATGATTTAGGAACTAATAATTTAACAGTAGATATATAGAATGGATTGGCAAAACAGGATTCATGTAGCCGACCCCATATAGTTGGGATAAGGCATGGATGATGATGATGAGTTATAAGTTGTCATGTGGGGGTCTAGGGAGAGAGAAAAAATAAGGTGTTTGAAGGTGGTAGTGCCTCTTTTGTAGCTTAAGAGGCCCCCTTCTTTTACCAATATTTCCTTCAACCTTTCACTTTTCTCAATCAAGGAGTCCTATTCCTCCATGGGTGGTTGGGCAGATTTCAGTTTATTTTGATGGCAACTTTCTTGGTAGCCAAGGTTCATTCAAGATGGGAGAGATATTCAAATCTCAATGGATCTCCATTTTGGTAGTTATTATTTGGTCTTATTGGGAACATTGAAGCAATTAAAGCTAGTGTTGGCATTGCTCATGGATTCAAGATTTTGTTTTGATGAATAAATCACTGATTCATGATTTCCTTGGGGCATACGCCTTTTTGTGCTTTATACATGAGGCATATGCCTCATTTGCTTTTACATTTTTAGGTAGTTTTTTATAATTAAAATGTTGTAAATAAAAGTGGGGGAACCATTTTATCATGCTCCCAATTGTAAATTGACATTATATTGAGGATGAAAGCCCTCGAAATTTGTTTATTGCAAAATTACAATAAAGGGCAGCCCAATGCACGAGGCTCCTGTTGTTGTGGGGTCTGGGGAGGGACATACAGAGAGGCTGTTTCCAATATTTTAACATTTATCACCCAAGTCACAATGGATCAACCCAATCGTTGTGCCAAGGCCCGCCCTCTTATTGCAATATTACAATAAAATGCCAAAATAGAAGTGGGGGAACTGTAGCTTTGATTTCTTTTAATGCATTGCATTTATTTGAATATGAGATGACATATTTGTTTATGTTAATTTTGTGCTATTTTGAATTGTTAATTCTGAAAATTTGATTTGAAACTATGCAAGTGATTTATTGATTGCTGATGATACTTATATATAACTATGAATAACGATACATTCATAAAAAAACTATGAATAACGATACTTAATGTGATAAATTGATGATACTTCAATTTCTATATTTAAATGTGATGGTTATATTATTAGAAATTAGAAATTTTCTAATTTCTCATAAATTTTCCTGTTTTTAATTTATTTATCTTATTTATTATATCTTTAAATTATTTTAACTTATTTTTTATTATTTATTAATTAAAAAAAGTCAATGCTTAGGAGGCTTATGCCTCTGGCATCTTGGTTTATACTTAATGCCTTAGGATGGTAGAATGCTTCACATCATGCCTCTGTGTTTTAAAACATTGGTAATGCATAGTCTATTGACCATCCATAATCCTTACATCCCTGTTTATGTTTAAACTTTATATTGTTCATGTATTTTTGCCTACCAGAAGTCCACCAGTAGGGTCTAAAAGTCATATTTTTTAATGCATTTGACATTTCCATAAAAAGGAGTGACAGGGCATCTGGATAACTTGAGGTGTTATTTGTGACGCTTGTCATGAGATCTAGTTTCACATAAGTGGGAGCTTTGGCAATGTTCCATTTGTCTAGCCTTTCATAAGTAGTTTAACCCTGAGTGCATTTTATTACATCCTCCTGATTCCAAAATCCAGAGTGGATTGGTATGGCCCCTGAACCCCNCATGTACCTGTCTTTACATACCTATATAAACAGGATTCATGTAGCTGTCCCATATTGTTGGGATAAGGCTTGGATGATGATGATGACGATGATGACACTTCTGATCCTCTAAGAGTACATATGTGATGATATATTTCTTGTTTTGCATGTGGAGTTGTTGTAACATGCTAATGTAACTCCACCTTTTGTTGGACTTTTAGGTGCATGTTGTTGATGGTTCAGGACAACATCCAGAGTATGAATTTGATGCAGTTCGTCTGGAGTTGGAGTTGTTTAGCCCAGAGCTTGCTGAAAAGCCCTATATAGTTGCCTATAACAAAATGGATCTTCCAGAGGCATCTGAAAAGTGGAATACATTCCAAGAAAGCCTACAAAGACGTGGTATTGAACCTTTCTGCATGAGTGCAGCAAACGGACAGGGCACTCATGAAGTAGCTTGTGCTGCTTATGAGCTACGAAAAAAAGCAGAGGCAAACAAGGAAGTTGAAGGTTAGAACTTTATCTCATTTCCTTTAAAGTGGCAAGTAACAATGCAAACATTTTGGGTGATTTCAACTATGAATAATTTGAGGCAAAATCTATGGTGCAGAACGTGCATCATGAAGCAAAAAAAGTGAACCAATGGTAAAGTGATATGTCACATGTGACATCTTTAAAATTGTTGAAGTCACAGTTCAAAATTTCGTTACAATATGCCCCGTATCCAGCGTATTGTATTGTTAGGGACTCCTTTTTTAAGGGTTTTCTAGAAACACTCTTTTTTAACTGTTAAATAATAATTAAACAAGCCTCCTGTAAAAATATGAAGTAAAAAATATAAAAAAGGTTTTTTGACAAGGTCTAAACACCCGATACACGTGTTTTTGTGCATATTGGGTGTATTGATACTTTAAAACTTGGTTAAAATCTTTAACATGATTAATAAGTAGACCTTGTGAAATGTGAACCAATGAAAAATAAGTAAAACATGTGACATCTTTAACTTGATTGATTACTTTTTTTTATTGATTTACTGTGCAACTTCTGCATCATAGTTGGACTCATAATTTGATGGCCTTTTGGATCCACATTAGTTATCAAGATGGAAAGACAATCCTTGTTTCCTTGTATTGCCTGAAATTATTCACAATGATGGAACTAGTTCTTCTTGGTCAAGGTGACATGAACACATTGTCTTACAAGATGAACTTATCATAGATGAAGTGTTCTGAGGGACTTATGGAAGCTATGTTCATTACTGTAAATGGAATATGCAGAATGCATTTAACATACATTTCTATCCCAGACATTGTGGTTTCAAATTTGAGAAATTTTTGAAATTGTTCTCTTAATATCTCGAAAATCCTGTATTTGTCAGCTTGTCTCTTGATGAATGCCTATTGAACTGTATTTCACCTTGGATTCTGAATGTGGTACCCCAATCATGAAAATGTACTTCTCAGTATTGCATGGGCACAGGCACAAGAGTCTGACTTGGCAAGACAACAAACATGGACTCACAGACACATCTATAGAAAAGTGAATATGCTATTAAAGTAGTCTTTTTTTTTCTTGAATTCTAACATTATATACCTACAAAAAATGGGTCTAAAATGTTGCCTTTGTTACTAAGTAATGCTTGATATGAAAAATGGCATTCATTTCGCACTTAGTTCTTCATTTATGTCAAATAATCTAGGCGATAAAAATGAAATATTACATAGAAGTGCCCCTCAAGAATCTTGGAGTGTCAGAATCCTACATGTGTCTGACATAGACATGGCATCTATTCAGAAGAGTCCATGCAACACTGGTACTGCCACTTAATTCCAACTAGTCCATAAAAAATTCAGTTTCTTCAACTCCTTTGCTCAGTCGGTATGTGTTTCAGTTTCTTCAAATTCTTATGCGTGTCAAGAGGGTTTTCTTATGTCCTTATGTGGTCTTGGCATTTTTTTGACATATTCCATGAATTTCAGGTCGGGCTGATCCAGTAAACTTGAATCATGTAGCTGACATGGTACATAAGCAAAGAAGTGCTTCCATTAATAACTTCGAGATCTTTCATGATAGCGGTTCCAATACTTGGCATGTAGTCGGTGCAGGCATACAACGTTTTGTTCAAATGACAAACTGGCAGTATGCTATCTTTGCCTTATTTCTTCATCCCATTATATTAATGTGAACTTATTCCAGTTGTCACAATACCTATTTAGTTTTTCATCTCTTTTTGAGCATCTTTTGGCATATTTTGTTGGATTTATTTTATCCTGCAAAGGTATTACTGAAGAATTGTATTGTAACTACATAATCATAGATGTTGCTTATTGCCATCCTGCAATTGTAATTGCACTATTTTTTACTATCCTCATTCCTTGATCTTACTTTAATTAATTTAAAAAATTGTGCTATCAATGTTTTAAAATGTGGATGCATAACCTGAGGCATTTCATTGCCTGGAGGCATGAGGTGTAGTTCAGAATGTAAGAGGTGTAAATCTCCCAAGCACAAGGAGGTGTAAGCTTCCTTACGTGGAGGGGGATGAGGAGGAAGAAGGAGGATGAGAAGGAAGAAGGGGGTCTGGGGGCAGAGCCCCCAGCCCAAACTTTCTTTCCTTCCCTTCCTTTTACTTTTCTTTGATTTATTTTCTCTTGTTTTTTTCTCCTATTTCTTTTTTTTTCTCTTTCTCTTTCCCTTTCCTTTTTTTCTTTCTTTCTACCTTTTTTGTATGAGGCATGTGCCTCATGAATCTGAGGAGTACCCCTTCAGCCCTCTGGAATATGCCTTTTAAAACACTGCGTGCAATATATCCCAAGGGGTAACATGAGAATAGAGAAGATATGATATGACAACAAAGTTATAATTTATAACTGCATGAACTGCAAAAATGGGGTTTTTTTCATTATGCAGAATCTTGACTCTTGTTTTTGAATTTTGACTTAAATCCTCCCTTGTTGGCAATAAACTTCAACTGGTCTATGGTGGTGGGATATGGAAATGGACACTTATGAGAAAAGTGAGGATATGATCTTTATCTCTGAAATTCTAGGATACAAATATGGATACAGGTATCCCGGTCAATTGTGCAAAATTGATGACTACACCAGTCAGTGATACAAGTATTCCATTCAGGATATGAATGGGGGCAAAATCCTTCATTTTCCAAAATTCCAGGAGATTAATCTGGATACAAGTATACCATTGTATGCGAACCCATTCAAGCTGAAATTACATTATAACAAATTTAATGAAATATCTAGAACATACAGATTCCTGCAATTAGATTTATTGTGATACACCATATGCATATTTTCTTTAACAATTAAGGACCAATAACTGATAAAAAAACAGATAAATATGTTTCTCTTTCTTCTGGTCCTTGAATTTAGAAAAATGTAGAGCCCACACTCCACAGTTTCTTTGCTGTGATTGACCAATTTGATTGAAGATAGAGTAATATTCCTTTATTCCTGTTTCCATCTTATCCTTGCTGATGCCTATCTGGAATACTGATAATTGGAAGTTCTGAACAGGTATTCAGAATCTATGAGGAGGTTCCAACATGTCTTGGAGGCATGTGGTGTGAACAAATCTCTTGTTAAACTTGGTGTTAAAGAAGGAGATACGGTGATTGTTGGTGAGGTATGTTAATAATATTTTCAGGTTTTCCTTTGGCAACATCGTCTAGGATTGTTTTCCATTAACATGAAACATGCAATAAGCGTCGACAATAGTCAAGAAAAAAAATAATTAATAACATAAAAGGACAAATTCCAACTTTAATGGCCATCTAAGTTTTTCCTCTCTTTTTTATTTGTTCTTTTTACTCCCATCCTTTTGGTTTTCAAGATTGGACCAGTGGCCTGCATTTGTATTCTGTATTTCTGCTATAATTCCATTGATAAACCTGGATGCATTGCTGATGATTTCTATTGCTTACTGCCAGATTGAAATGGTATGGCATGATTCCAATGACAAATTTGGACTGTCAAATATGAAGAAGGGGCCACAAGGTTCTGTCAAATGGCCTGAGTGGAAGTAGTTAACCTATTTCTATGCTCACGCTGACTACTTGCTGGTAAAACAAGGTAAAAGTCACACCTTGTTGGAGTAACCTAGTTCAGCATATGAGATAAAAAGACCATAGAAAGTTATTTTTGACATTATCTACATCTATATTTACATATATATAGGTAGCGGGTTATTAGTCAGGCTGAAGGTCCAAGGAATCTTCCATTGCAAACTGTTCTGCGGCCCAAAATGGCCTACATGCTGTTAATTGGGTAAATTTGAGCCCCTAATCCCTTGCCATATGTTCAGAATAAACCCATCTTTTTAGGCAAGTTTAACATTAAAGCATTAATACTTTTAGCAGCCAATATTACTTGTGGAAAATACCAATAATGGATGGGGTTCAGGGCTGGTATGGACTGGAGGATTGAATAGGTGGGATGTCCAGACGGTTTCCTACTTGGTGTTCTCAGATTGACCAAATCATCTCTCCACGTAGCAAGCAAGATATGACAGGTCATGTAGGGAAGCGCCCTACTTTACCCAACTAGGGAACCCTTACATATTCTTGTATGGAGAAAATCACAAATGGCTGATAAACATGAGAGTTCAGCTTGGTACCAATGTCTCCAGTCTCCGTCACCCTGTGATTCCATCTGAGAAGTTATCTTTGGTTTAGTTTGAAAATAATCCTTTAGAGCATATAGTGGGATTTTCCAGTTGAGGTTTTTCTTTATATATATATATATATTCAAGCATTCTATGTTTATATCCCAATAGTTGTATTTTAATTGCACAACAGATATAAATTGGGAAGGCTTTGTTGGATTTAGTTTATTGATTTGGAAGCAAACCAAAGTGGGCCTCCTGACCAAAAAGTTTCATTTGGAGACATTTTCGAGATCTCATAAGAACCTATTATCTTAGGTCAGATCATCTTGGAATGGCTAAAAAGCTTATAACAAGACAATAGTCTTAAACTCATTTGTAGGGTAGGATCCTATAAATCTGGATGCTAATTTCTGTATTCTACACAGAAGATTGAATGCTATGCCTAAATTTTCTCTCTAACGCAGAAATAACAACTGCAACCTTGGGGGGAAATACTTTTCTTGTTTTCCTTCTTTTTTCTCTTTGGGAAAGGAGAAGTTTGCAAGTTTAGATATACAGCTTGATAGGAGTTGTTTATTATATTTTATAGGAAGTTTCTGAACATTTCACTGTAATTTAAACTTCTGTACCGTAAATAAACTGGCGAAATTATGATACTTGTTCCATGAATTTCTGAATTTAATTGCCTTTTTTGTATGCCTAATATTTGATATGAGAACTCGGTTGGTATTTGGTAATGGACCAATGCTACCTTAGACCCTTGTAGATTTGCCTACTCCAATCAAAATTTTGCCATAGGGTTCAAAACTTGTGGAAAAACTGACCTTTTTACGGCGGATTATGTAGACTTGTTGTAGGGAGATCCATGGGCTGGGCCGAGGATAGGTTTAGGGGTATAGCCCAAGTCTAATTAGTCTGGGCTTTCGGGCCCACAACTTCAAATATAGTATGTTTAATATTAGGGTAAATCCCTTAAACCTCCCCTGGGTTTTCTGAAAAGGTCTTAAGCTTCCCCTCAAGTTTGACATGCCCTTAAACCTCCCTGACTTTTGGAGGTATAGGGACTCATACACCCTTTCTGTTGCTTTACGGTTAGAAATCTAACAGCAACTGTTGATGTCTTGGATTTAAATATACTATAATACCAATTTTGCCCTTATATAAAATCATCAAATGTTTTATTTGGCTACCATGGTGGCAATTGGCAAGTTAGATCATAGATGAACCGAAATTCAAATCTAAAAGGTGACAAATTTCCACGATGACCATTTTATTAAAGTAAATTTTAATGCTTCAATTTTGATAAAAAAAATAATGCTTCAATTGGCTAGTTGGCTCAATATGAAATGCGTCTTTTGGATGCATTATTAGAAATTACATTACTTGGGGCAACACGTGAGTGGTAAAGCTCACAACATGGGACTTTTAACTAACCAATCTCATCATCGATTTCATTTTGGGCAAGACAGACTCTCTGCGGAGCATTGGGTTGTTAATTCTTGACATCGAAAAACTGGCTATTGTATGCTGAAGATTGATATGATTAAAGCCTATGATAGAATGGAATGAGATTTTTTCTTCAAGATTTTTAGGTGTTTTGATTTCTCATCTAAGTTGTGCAACCTTAATAGTCCACCATATTTCATCTCCTTGTGAAACTCCAGGGAGCTATTCTTTCAACAGAGGGATTTGAGGCAAGGATACCCTACGTCTGAAGTGAATGGCAATCAAACAGCAAAGGGTTTGAGGCAAGGATGCCCCATATCAAATATCACCAAACAGCCCTTCATTCTTGGTCAATAAAGTGAAGAAACATCTAACCAGTTGGAAGTCTTTTGGTGTTATCTCATGCGGCCACCAGAACAATATCGTGCCTTCTGCCCTATTCGATCTCCAATCAGTTGAATGGTATTAATTAGAGACTTTTGGCGGGGGAGTTATGAGCATGAAAAGAAAGGCATTTTCGCACTCTACATATTTGTGTTTGTATTCCTTTCAAATTGAGTCTTAGCAAATAAGGTGGTTTGGGTATCTAAGATATAGAAAAGAACCAATAAAACTCTAATTTTGAAACTCCTTTGGAGATATTTAACAGAACCTACAATGTTGTGGTTGCAAACTTGCAACTGTCAATATCAGTTGTATTTGGCATATGGTTTTTGAGCCGCTGTTGACCTGGACGGTTGGATTGTTTGACTCAGGAATCATCCAGGCAACCAGTTTCATTTTACCCCAAACCTCGTCCTTGGCAAAAGACCGTTGAATCGGTCAACGAATTGTTGACCTGGGTGGTTGAATCGTCGACCCATTCAACAGTTTTTGGCTGTTTTTAAATTTTAATTATTTTTTTATTTTTTTTTAATTTATTTTGTTAGAACGGACCGTTCATTTGGACCAGATAGTTGAACCATTGACCTAGAAATTGGTGGCCAGAATGGTTCCGGTTCTGAGTCGTTTTTTAAAACATTGATATTTGATACCATTGTCACTTTTACTTACAACGTTTTAGGTTGGTTAATACAAATTTTATAAGAATACGTTTTTTTTTTCTACCACAAATAATGTGAGTTATCAATACCACATTAGATATTCAAGTTTAATGTTTTTATCATAAATACCAATACTTAATCCAATGCCTATATTTTTTTAATGAAATTAATTATTTGACATGATGTGATAAGACAATTTTTCAATAATTTGTACAAGTAAAAATGGCAATGATACAAAAGACAGCCTTCATTGATGCCACCCAAAAATCTTAGTGGGTTGATCTCATTATTTCATTGTTCAATCAGTTCTAGGAGCATCTATTCTTAACACTAGGCTTAGTACTTCTCCAGTTCCAACAGCACCCATTCATTGTTCGATCCAATCTCTTGGAGTGGTTGTGGAAGTTGTTGCTTCCTATTCCAACTATTCCTATAGAGAGTATTACGTATGTAGACTCCACTTGTCCATTGTGCATTGCCTCCATTGAGTAGACAAAATCCTTATTACATTTATTTTTTTACTTGTTCGGGCACTAGCACAAGCTGTTTGGTTTGGGTCCAACTTGTCATTAAGATCCTTGGAACCAAACTTCACCTCTATTGCTGAATAGCTGGAATAATGGTGGGACCTTGATCAACAAGATTATGGTCTTTGTGGGACCGTGTCTCCGGAAGCATTGAAATAATGTTGCTTTATTTAAGATTGTGCGGCTGATCCCCAGTAGGTAATTCTATCATACAAATGTCATGTCTTTTGGTATCATTGTCTTTAGGACATATTTATTTTAATTTGATTATATTTTAAATCTTTTCATTTTACTAACAAGTAACCGGTGCTGTTACTGGATTTATCATTAAATTCTTTCAAGATATTCTTTGCTATTTTTGTGTTGTTTGTCATTTTAAGCCAAATAATTAATTTTTCTATTTAAATTTTAATTCCCTTTTATTATCAATTTGTTTTTAAAATAAACTAACTTTTTTCCTTTTAGGTTTTCCATTTAATTCTAGGACACCGATTACTTTTTCATTTCTTAATGTGCATATCTACTATCATTAGTCTATGTTCTGTTGTTTTTGGAATAACTTTTCAATCTTTGCACATTATTGGTTCTAATCTTCTGGTGAGGAAAAAATCTATTTGATATATGTTTAATCTACTTTTAAATGTTATCAAGTGTTCATCATTCTTTTGAAAAAAGATATTTAAAATTGTCATATCATAAGCTAATGCAAAATTTAATATTGTACCTCCCGGATTATTCTTCTCTCCAAATCCAAATCCTCCATGCGTCATATCATTTCATATACTTCTTTTTCCTATATATCCATTTAAATCTCTTATAAAAATCTCTTTTTATTTGGATTTTTTCAATTAATCCTTCTAGTTTTTTCTAAAATCATTTTTTACTATTTTTTTCTTAAATGCACTTAAGGTAAATAAGCACTAATTATGTTACTAATTTCCTCACGCAAAACAAGTCTAATTAAAATTACTTTATCCCCAATTCTTTTAGCATTTACAATGTTATTTTTAAACCCCATATATTATTATCGTTACACCATTCTATTATTCACCTCTCTTGTATATCATAATTTGTAGCCATCAATATCTTTAGCTTCTTTTACTCTTCCATTTAGTTTCTTGTACTGCAATATTAATCTTTATTTTCTTCATAGTGTATACTAATTTCATAGTTTTTTTCTATTAATGTTCTTGCATTCTAAGTGGATAAATGAAGTTGTGTTTCTTGTAATAGTTTCGTTACCCACCCCATCGAAAAGGATGTGGGAACCCTTGCTTATTTGCCACTATAGTTGAACATTGCCATAGCAGGTCAGTTAAGGGGACCATCATAGCAAACCCTTGCCTATTTAACACTACACTTGGATTAGAGTATAGCGTGTCATTTTTGGAGAATGCCTTAACATGAGCATGAAAAGGCAAATCATGATCCATACTTATGAGGGTTTCGCAAAAGTTTTAATGCTAGCTACCAACCTAACACAACCCTCCTCCTTTATTGGGCATGGGACTGACAATGTATAACAAGCTCTGGTGGAATTACTAAGCTTATTTAATTTATGCCTTTTAATCCTAATACCCAATCTTCCCCTCTTCCATGGCCTTACATATTTGTACTACATTGATTGACTAAGTCATTTTCATAACTTTTACCCATGGATGGATTACCCTTGATAAAAAAAGATGAAAAAAAAACAGTTGCACAAGTTCTAAATGTATTTTATAATTACCAAAGAAAAGAATCAGAATTTCCTCATAAAATTTTCCTCACAACACTTATAGTCATACATCAGGAACATCTCTCATGAATGAAAACATACAAGTATGGGAGATATTCTTAACGTGCGACTAACATTCTGTGATGTGGGTGTGAGGGGGAAATCCGAACTTAAAAGAAAAATATGATCATGTAAAATATAAGAAAAAGAATCGATCTCTCCCATAACCATATCAACCACCACCAGTATCCCTTCACACACACAAACACAAGAAAAAAGGGGGAAATTGGGAAAGGAAAATAAAGTGATCCAACGCATGCTATTCAATCAAAATTTGAGTTTGAAGAACATTTATCCAATTCTACTAATAGTCCGATCCCAATCATATGCTTTGAATAGATTGGATTATTGTAACCTTTTTATTCCTTAGCCCTTGGATCTAAGTAGGGATTTACCAAAAATGAAATGATCCAAGCAAGGTTCAAAATATCGATATGCTTGATGCGCCGGTATGGGTGTCTTGAGCGAATCAATACTGTTTTTTTTAGTTTTTATTTTTTTTTTCTGAAACCGGTTCAAGGGGGCCGATTTAGGTCTCCTCCACCCCCTGAACCGGTCAGACCCCCAATACACCCACTATAGGGGCATATCAAAGGGGTCTTGGAATGATACATATCGGCCGATACGTGTCAATACTTTGAACCTTGGATTCAAGTAGGGGTGTAAATGAACCGAGTTAAGGGGAGCTTTGTCAAATCAGGCTCATGAACCTCTTGAGGTGGCTTCAGCTTTCATTATTCTAATAATTGAACCTTAAGAGGGAAAGAGAAAGTTGACTTGCATTTGGATATACTACCCACACCTACCCACAATATATTTCCCATATTTGTATGTTATAATTTATGGGGAGATATTCTCCACAT